AACGGAAAAACCACGTTCAGCTTTTTGGTGATTTATGAGGACAAGAACTCCAACTGGACTCTTTAGGTTATGAAAATGAAATGAGAGACAGAGGAGATGTTGGAGGAGCCGAGGGAGGCAGAGCAGGTGAAGCTCCTGCTCCTCTGGGTTCCAGCTGATCTGGTGTTACTGCGACTTTAAGAGCTGGAGCAGAACGGATGATGATGATGAGTGGGGTTATCACGATGAACAAAACAAAACAACATTGGAGAAACTCAGTAAACGGTTTATCAGCTTCCAGATGAAACAGAATCAAGCAGCACCAGCAGAATATCTACGGAGCTAAATTAGGGCCATAAAGTTTGACAAAAAAATTGAAACTGGAAAAAAAAGACTTGAAACTGAAGAGTTGTTTTTTGGTTTCAAAAATGTTTTGCAGTTTCAAATCATTACTTTGAAACTGAAAATAAAGATTCAGTTTCAATTTTTTTTTTTATTTGGTTTCAAAACTTTTTTCAGTTTCACATCTTTATGGCCCCATTTGAGCTCCGTAGAACTGACCCGTGGAGATAAAGTTCGGACCTGGACCTGGACCCGGTTCAGACCTGGACCCGTTCTGATCCTCTCTGGTAGCTTAGCAACAGTTGCTAATGGCGCCTCCAGCCCATAAACACGGAGCTGCCGTAAATCTGTCCTTCGGTTATGGAAACACGTCACGTTGGCAGGATTTGTGGCTAAACTAAAAGCTGAACAGATTCATGGTGAACAGGAAATGGTAAGGTTGGATCCAGTGTTTGAAAAGTCAAAGATTTACAGCAAGCAAGCTAAATATTTAGCTTCAGTTACTAAACAAGCTAAAGGCTAACTTTTTAGTTTGAAAAAAGCTGAATATTTAGCTTGCAAACTAAATACTTGCTAATTAAGCATTGAGTGTGGAGCTAAATATTTAGCTTCAATGTAAATGTTTAGCTTGCTAATTGAACATTTAACAGATATGTGTTTAGCTATAAACACATATATAAGCTAATTTAGCTAAATATATATTCAGCTTTAGCGAAATGAATGCTGAAAGTATTTATTGATTTGACCATAAATGATCAGTTGATTGCATCCATCCATTACTCCGTCGTTCTCCTGCTGCTGATGATTTGAGCTGCTGGTTGTTTCCGACCGAAGCTCCAACACGGATCAGGAGGAATCAGCTCAGCCAGGTGAGTCTTTAGGATCCAGGAAGCTTCCATCCCTCCATGCTGCCTCCCATATGTCCTCGTTTCTCCTCCTCTCTCAGAGAAACAAACTGAGAATGTCTCTCTCTCTGTTCCTGATTCAGTTCTTCAGTCTGTTTCTTTGAATCGTTGTCTCTGTTCCAGGTGAAGCGTTAAAACTCTTCCTGTCTTATCTTCAGGTAGGAGGTTCACAGGATGAAGGTCTGTGTGTTTTAGAGTTTGGATCTTCTGCGGAGGTTGGAGCAAAGCGTCGTCTGAGGAGGAAGAAGGCTCATCTGAGCTTAAACTGTCACCAGACAGGTTTTATATCTAAAAGGTTCGTTTAAGGAAAAGCAGATTTAGATTTTAGGAATGTGTGAAACGTTTTTCTGTCTCTTCTGTCGTTTTCCCCTCCTGCCTCTGTTATCGCCTCGCTGTGTTTCAGCAGCCAGCCTCCCTCATGTCTGCCTTCCTGGTGTTTGTCTTCAGATTGCTTTCCTGCAGCACATTTCTGTTTCTGTTGGATTTTACTGAAGGTCTGTCTGGCGCTTCACTGTTTCTCCTTGTTGCTCTTTGTAGAAGTTTGTATCATTTTAACTGGATCCAGTCCAAACCGGTTTAAATCCGTCTTTATCCTGATGTCAAACCCAAACTGTGTCCGAGTTTCAACCATCTACTTCTTTATATGTATGCTGCATGGCTAGCATTCAGATGCTATTTTGCGCTAGCATAGCTGCACTGATAGGCTAACTCCTTTTAGCACAACTTGAACACAGCGATGTCTTCGATGTTTTTATCTTTACTTTTTATCTATTTATGTAAAAGTGGTGAGTGACTGAGGGTCATTGCGCGCACAGAAAAACCCAGTAAACTCCAGAATCTAACAGGTAAAAATAGTGCACAAATATCCGTGTAGTACGGCGAAGCCTTAGCGCAAAAATTTGCGTTACAGGTGGACGGAGCCTGGTGCTGCAAGGTTGGAGGCCTTGTCCTGTCAGGCGACGGGGCCTGGATAATACCTGGATAATACCTGGATAATACCTGGATAATACCTGGATAATACCCGCGTTAAACGGACGGCGGAGTCCGGCGACGACAGGCGCTTAAATACCGTAACAAAATATGTTTTTATCTTTTTTAAAAAAAATCTTTTTCTTTTTTCAAAATCTCTTTCTTACTGTTTATTCAATGTTTCTTAATTATGTAAAGCACCTTGAAATGCCTTGCTGCTGAAATGTGCTATACAAATAAAATTTGATTGATTGATTGATTGATTGATTGATTGATTGATTGATTGATTGATTGATTGATTGATAGTCTTTTCCAGCGTCCAATCAGATCGATTAGAAGCGGAAATGAACCCCCAGTGAGAAGCGGCTTCGTCGTCCATCGCTGCTGAGAGTGGACGCAGCTGTGCGTCAGGTTTATGGCCGTACAAGAAGCACACAAATACAAAGGTTCCAGTCGAGGGAAAAAATGTGATTAATTGCGTAAAATAGTAACGTTAAAATTTATTTAACTAATTAGTCAAAATTAGCTCGCTAAAGTCCCAGTCCTAATTAATTTATAATTATTGAAGTGATTATCTTCTCCAGTCGTTCTGGAAATTAGTCCTAAGCGTCTCTAGCCCGTCTGGATCAACAGTTTTCGCTCTTCTTCTGGAACTTCCTCATTAATGTGACAAACAAACCCTTTTAAGGAAAAATAAACTGCCATTATAGATGTACATAAACATCAATACACTACTACAATGCATCATGAATATTGTTTTGTGTGTAAAATGCAGAGTTCAGACAAATTAGAAGTTGTGCCGTCTGTTTCTGTGCAGAGTCTGTAAAAGCGTAGCTTCAGGAAAAATCTTTCTGTTTCACTTCAGTCTTCTCTCTTCATCCAGTCAATCAGCTGGAGTCACATCAGAGATGTGGGTCAGACGAAAGGAGGACATTAGCTCAGAGAATCAGGTTAACCCAGATCTCTTCTTCTTCTGATATTAAAATGGCCTCGGGTGGAGGGGAAGTAAGTGATTATATCAGAAAAGTTTTCTGGCACCTGGAATACGAGTGTCTTCTGTGGAACGAATGTCTGGCTCGTCTTACCTTTTTGTAGAAAGTAACAGAGAAAAGTTTCTCTAACCAGAGAAAATCCAACCATCCATAAATCTTCTGCTCTGGTTCTGTTCAGATGGACGGTGTTTCTAGGTGTTGCGGATCTGTCCCAGTGGGTCGGGTCTCTGTGTTTTGGAGGTGAAATGGTTCTGGTGATTTCATCAGGTAGTGACCTTCGGCTGTCATTGGAGCGGTTCGCAGCCGGGTCTCCGGATCAGAAGTTTGTTCCTACCAGTCTGGAAGTTTTCAGGAACAAACTTCCAGAAAACTGCAAAACTGCTGAAACACGGAGTTCCTTTAAAACGAGGCTAAAACCCATCTGTTAGATTCATAATCACTGGAACACTGACTGCTACGTTTGATCATGTTGATAATGAACTTTGACATCCATCAGTCTGGAAGTGACTGATGGATGTCAGTCCATCCAGACTGACACCCATCCAGTCTCCAAGGTTCTGGACTCCACAGAACCGCCATGATCCAACCTGCAGAACCTTCCCAGATAATTACTTCTGGAGTGATACTTTTATTTCTGTGATTATCCCAGAAGGGGATTGTTTTGGCCGTGCCAACCAGTTGAGAATCAGCTGATGTGAAGGCGGTGGAAGCGTCGTGGGGCTTCGTCTCTATCAGGGTTCGCTGGATCAGCCGTAGGTGGAAGAGCCGCTTCGCCTCTGGTCTCTCTCAGTGACCTTGTCAGTGTGATGGAGCAGGATGAAGAGTCGTCCCTCCTCCTCCTCTCGCTGCTGTAATTGGACCATTGATTGGTGCTGTCTGGACACAACAAAGGAGTGACGGCATCAACTGTCTGCAAGCAGCTGGAGACGAAATGACTCGACAGAAAGGAGACTAAACTGTAGCTTTAGAATAAAAACCTGTTGAATTTGATCATTTACATCAAATTCCTGCTTTCTGAATGTAAACTGGAAGCTCAGTTTGAACAGAGATGTTGTCTAATTAACCTACAGATGTGTTAACCAAGCATTCCTGTTCCCACAGGGAACCGTTCAGCTGATTTTTAAGGAAGGTATCTGAATTTCAAACGCGGCGTCCCTCTGGCAGCAGCTGGATCTTCAGCTGATGCTGAAGCCGGACAGACCCGAGTCCAAATCAAGTCCAGATGAAGCCACTGAATTAAAATGTTTTCTGCCAGCAGGAGACATCAAAGCTGAGGCAAACAGAGCTGCTTGGTGTTTACCTGAGAGGCACAGGTCAGCAGCTTAATTAGGAAGTGAAGAGGATGAGGATGATGCTTTATCATGCCTCTGAATCTTGAAGTCAGGAGTTAACCTTCCTGCTTCAGACATGCTCTGCAGAGACGGACCCAGTCAGTGAAGATGCATCACTCGTCCATCGGTCCAAACCAAACCATCAGTCAGACACTCGGTGAAGGTCCAACAGATCTCTGGGATCCAACAGATCCACCAGCTTCTCCGTCAAGGCTCCTCAGTTGGGCCAAATGTCATTATCGTCATACGCTCAAACATCTTAGAACTGGAAAAACTAACGGCTCCGGCTTTCATAGTCTCCGCTGTTGGTGTACAACCAAAATGTCCCAAATAAAATAAATTGTCTTTTTTTTTTAAATGTTTGATTTTCTATGAAAAAATATGCAAAAAGGGGAACCTTCCTCAAATAATTTGGAGTTACTTAACATTGTAATGTTTTAAGTATAGATATAAGAAATGCAGTTTTTTAGTGTTGGAGGCTGTAATCCTGAGTAATTTAGATTTAGTAATATTACGTTCATTTATTTTTATTATCTGCATTTGAATGTTTTCTTAATTTGGTTTAAAATGTGAAAAAGTAATAAAGTTGCCTTAGCTTGTGTTAGTTTAGCGCCATTACCTAAAGGATCCACTAGGGGCACTCGCGTGTTCTTTTCCTACTCAGTACAAGCGAGTGAACGGAGGCGCGTCGATCCTGTTTCCTGTGGTTGTTTTCTCCTTCTGTCTCCCGTCTTTAAGGTAAGTAATGAGATAACACTTTAAAGAGAACGGCTTGTGGATGTTTGGCTTGTTTTGTACCGCAGAGTTGTGTATTTGCTGCTTAATAGTTGGCTATTCAGCTAAGTAGCTAGCACTACTGCTGGCGGCAGGAGGCCTCGTGTCTCGCTCTGGCTTCCGGAAGTTTGACTTAAATAAGAGTCATATTTTTACGTCATTAGTTTTGACTTTGCAATAAAACATTACTTAAATAATTAATAAAATGCTTAAAACTCTTGAATACTTTTAATGTAAGACACTTATTTTGTTTGTGTTTAAACAATTGAATAATTTACAGTTAATATTGTTATGCAAAAGAGGCGCCTGCGTTCTGTATTTTATTTGCTAATGCAAAGTGATGTGAAACGCTATAGACTGCTTTAGCTAGCACTTTGCCTTTAGTTTTAATATTTGTGTTATTTTATGAAATACATTCAATATAAGCAAGTGAATGGAGGAGCAGTGATTCAATCACCCGGAAAAGGATTCTCTATTTTTTAACATCAGCAGTTGTTTTTTTGTTTTGTTTTGTTTTTTCATTGAGTAATTGTATTGATTTTCCACAACAGAATGACGAAAAAGTTAAAAATATTTTTAGATTAATTTAACAATTGGATGTTTTTAATAATTTTCTACAAATATTTTATCAGAAGAAAATGTGTCATCCTCTTTTTTTCTTCTTATATGTTTCCTTAATTTAACATAAAAATGAAATAAAAAGGTTTTTTGTAAATAACAATTTTCCATTTGTAGATATAACTTTATGGCTCTAAGCAGGTTCATGTTTGTGAACTGAATGCAAAAATGGCTCTTTATATTGGAAAGCTTTCTGACCCCTGGCCTAGTCAAAGTCCCGTTCGACTGGTGAGTGAATGCTAATTGACCTCTGACCTCTGGTCCTCCAAGTCTCGGTCTGGGTTCGGTTGAAGTGAACTCTGGTTCGGTTTGAATGTGAAAGCCAAGCGGACCAGAGACCGCTCCAAAAGCAGGAAGTGGACTACAGCGCAGGGCATTCTGGGTAAATCCAACCAAAGCTAACGTGCTAGCCTAGCGCTAGCAGCAGAAATGGCTCCTGGTCTTTAGCCAAAGACTAAAGAGAAATCCTCCAACCGCTAAAATCTGACGCCTCCATCTTGTTTCCATCTGGTGAAGAAGGAAGTTGCTCTCAGTTTCAGTTCCTTCAGAGGTTTTTGTGTCGTTTCCTTCAGTAGCTCTTGGTGCAGCGCCCCCACAGGCCAGGGGGGGAACAGGCTGGTTTGACTCAGAACCACAGCAGCTGGAGGTGGAGCAGATGATGGAGTTCTGGTTCCAGTAGAACCGGGTCGACCAGACCATCAGGAAAGAAACATCCTGAGTGTGATGATGAACCGTTTCACTCGTCTTGATTCAGGAGGTCAAACATGGACGGTCTGTGGGTGAGTTCTTCACCCTCCTCATCAGGCTGAGATGTCTGTGAGCAGCAGATTGTAGGTGACAGACTGAACTGATGAGTCTCTCTGTGTGAAGCTGCTGGTGGTGTTCCTGTGATTCATCAGGAGCTCCGGAGCAGGCGCGGCTCCAGCTGAGGTCAGGATCTGCTGCAGGACTCCAGCCGTCCTCCATGTTCAGCAGCAGCTGACGCGGAACAGCTGCAGGTCAGTGCGGCTGGCCAACGTGAGGACGACTGCTGTGAGTCAGCGCCGGCTGATCTGAGCCGGTGTGTTGCAGTCACGACGTCGGGGGAGGCGGCGGCGCGTTGGGGGGTGCATGTGGTCAGTGTGTCACTGCTGGTTAGATAATGATGACGAGGATGAAGAAATCTGAGGCTTCAGAGAAAAAACTTTGACTTCTCAGACTTTTTAACAAGAAGCAAAGCAGCTGGGATTTTTCCTCCTCTTGGTTTTTCATAACACTTGTGATAAAAAAATAAGTTAAAGCTGCAGAACTCCTCGTGGGAAGTTCACCTGAAGAGGAAAAACTCAGATTTATCTCATGAATATTTGCTTCTCTTACACGTTTCCTAACAGGCATGGTGTCCAAAGTCCTGCAGGACAGGCGTCGGCTCATCAGACCTGAACTGAAGTTAGCGCTTCGTTAGCGGTTCAGCTGAACAGACTGGAGCTGGACATGTTCCCATAGCAACCAGTGACCCCTGAACCCGTGCGGTTCTCTGTGGATCTGCTGGTGATCCGGTGAGTTTCCTGCTCTGCTGGGAGCCTGTAGGCGTCTGCTGGAGAGACTTCCAGGATGAGTTAGCAGGTTGCAGAGTGGGTGTTCAGGTGTCAGCCTGCAGACTCAGATTCTGCAGGAATATTCTGGTTTACTGCTCTTATTTCTTTGGGTCTGGCTGAAAACCTGTCAACATTCACTGCAGTTATTTCCTATTTCTTGGTAATTATCCTGTGTTGGCGTCAGCAGCATCAGTTAGTCGTGTTTCCATCAATGTTTTTTATGTGAATTTTTTTGAAGTTTTGTATTAGAAACAGTTGATGGAAACAGCAACATTCAAAATAAAAAGTTTCTACACTTGGTTTTTAGTTTTTCTGAAACAGTAAAGCACTAAAGGCGAGACGGGAACATATGAATAATTTGTTTTCCAGTCAGTGGTGAGTCTGTGCCTTACCAGAGGAACGATTCCTATTGTTCTGAGATGAGGTTCATGTTCCTGTTTATTACAGCCATGTGTAGCATCAACATCTGACTACATTAGCCTGTTGATTCGCTCCAAACCGTAGATGGAAACACGTCTAACTCACTTTTTCTTTGCGTGACGGTTGGATGGAAACATGGAGTCTGTTTCTGGATCGGTTCGTTCCTCAGGACCAAGATCTTCTGTGTTCATCTTTAAATTTAAACCGGTCAGGCTCACCAAATGAGAGAGAATGAATCCTGAATACAATGAAAGGAGCAAAACTGATAAATAGTTTTATGCTGATGCTCAACCAGGACAGAAAGTCCTTCCATCTTGCTGAAGATCTCAGCTCAAACTGGAGACTCGTTTTCAGCCTGGAGCTACAGGAAGTAGAAGAAGTTGTAGTTTTGAGGTTCTCAGGTGTGTTGGAGATGAAACGATCTGTGAGACGTTGAGGTGGAGTTGCATTAAAAACCACTAATATTATAAAATGGAAGGTTAGGGTTATGCTCCACTCCTGAATCTGATGATTTCTGCTCTGCTTTGCTTGATGCCCGCATGTTGGAGCACCGGAGCTGCAGCAGAGCGGCCATCTTGAATGTTCTGGCCTTTAATCTGCAGCGTCAGCAGTAAACATGCATCATGGTTGACGGGGCTTAAAATGGCCAGCGGAGAGCTGCGTTCGTGGAGACTGACCTGCAAAAGCTGACGGACGTGATCTGACAAACTGTGAGTGAAACAAGGTGACATCGGCCTGATTTACACACCTTGTCGTCTCTAATCCGGCTCAGGCGGGAGGATGAGGTGTTTCTGAAGGACTCGGACGCTCTGGGTCACTTTGGCTTTCAGTTTTGATTTATCTCTCTGTTTTGGTTACTCAGCTGTTTATTGACCTTCTGCTCACTCTGTGCTTTCTGTTTGGTTAAAATCTCAGTTTTCATTTGATAAACTCTCCTGTGTGTTTCAGAAAAGTTACCCAGTCAAACGAACAGCAGTAATTTGGGTTATTTAACATATCATACAAAAAGTAGGATTTCAGACACATCATTCATTTATCTGCAAACGTCACAGTTTCAAACTTTATACTTAAATATTTAGGTTGAAGCTCAATATTTAGTTTAGAAACTAATTGTGGTCTCACCTCAACATTTAGTGATCAAGCTAACTATTTAACGCCAAAGTAAATATCTCTCAGCTAGGTAAATATTTAGTTACTCAGAACTAAACATTTAGTTTGAAGCTAAATATTTAGCTCCAATTTAAATATTTAGCTCCAATTTAAATATTTAGCTCCAATTTAAATATTTAGCTCTAATTTAAATATTTAGCTCTAATTTAAGTATTTAGCTCCAATTTAAATATTTAGCTTCAAACTAAGTATTTAGTTGGTTAAATAACCCAAATTATTGCTGATAATTTGTGACTTAAAAGGATGAAAAGTTTTAGTTCCCTATCCGTCGCCTGTTTATCCCTCCATCATTCATTCATCCCTCCATCATTCATTCATCCCTCCATCATTCATTCATCCCTCCATCATTCATTCATTCCAGTCTGTCAGCCAAGCACAAGGCAGTGAAGAGGAGGAGCCTTCCTCTCTCCTCCCCGTCTGAACGCTCATGACTCTTTCTGTCCAACTTTTACATTAAATACTTTGTGAATTTTCAAAATTAGTGATGATGTTGGTAAAAATGTAATATCACCAGAAACAGATGTAAAATTGTTTCAGTGAGAGAAAAGCTTCGGTAAGGTTTTATTTTTTTCAAAATAGACTTAAAGTCAAAGTTCTGCTTCTAATTTGGTGTTAAAAATAAAAAATGTTCTTGTTTGTGAAGCTGATACCAAAGCTTAACTTCCCAAGATGCTCAGTGCTGTAATTATTTCATTAAAGTGCTTCTTGATATTATGACTCGATTCTCCTGATTCTCCCCGTCGTACAAACAAAACAACCCGTTCAGTTCGTCGTGTTCATGTCTCTGCTTCATGGTGGGACAGACATGATGATGATGGTGGTGGTGATGAAGAGCGTGTGAAGTCCTCACAGACCCGATGACCCAGACTCGGTGAGCTCTGCAGACCGAGGCAGCATCGTGAAGTTCTGGGAACCTGAGAGGTTTGCAGAGCAGACGCAGGCGAAGTGTGTGTCTGACTCCCATCAGACGCTGAGCCTCGGTAAACGGAGGAACGGCGGGATTCACTCCGGCTGATTGCTGCTGCAGTTCTGGGAGGATTTAAACTGTTGGAGCAAAAATCAAACTAAATCTCATTAAACTGCGACCAGACGAAATCTGACGCACATCATGCAGTTACTCTGATGTTTGTTAACTCGGCTAATTAGTCCCAAAAATACGGATTCATCTTCTCCCTTTACTCT